CAGGAAAACAGGAGGAGGAGGAAAAAAATTTGAAAAGGAAAAGGAAAAACAAGGAACAAAGAAACAAAAGCTTGAAACAGGATACTCAAGAATAAAATCACTGTTTAGATCCACCTTCTAATCAGGCAACTTAGTTTTTGATGTGCTTGGCAGCAGGATGCAGTGAAAACAGTATCTTATAGGGAGGTTTTGTTTGTCTAGTATAGGGTACGTCATGCATTAGCAATGTAACTTTGAACACATCACATGACTACTCTGCACTTCCAATTTCCTCAACTGTAACAGTATCTCGGAGATGTGAGAATTCCAATTAGAACAGTATCTCAGAGATGTGAGAATTCCAATTAGAACAGTATCTCGGAGATGTAAGAATTCTAAGACTCTAAAGTTTAAAAAACAAAAACTAATGGACTTGTACTGTTACTACAGTAGTCATCCTTTATCTAAGCTGTCACTTTCTGTGGTTCTAGTTACCTGAGGTCAACCAAGACCCCAAAATAAGTAAGTATAGTACAATAAGATATTTTGAGAGTGAGAGAAACCACATTCACATAACTTTTACTTGGGCTGTTTGGTTAAGTGAAAGATCTGATTATTCAAAATTAGCAACAGAGTTGCTAATGATGCAGGCCGGGTATCAGGTAATATAACAATTACATGTTATAATTGTTCTATTTTTAGTTATTGTTGTTAACTCTTACTGTGCCTAATTTATAAATTAAACTTTATCATAGGTATGACTGTATCAGAAAAGTACAATGTAAACAGAGTTCAGTACTATCTGTAATTTCAGGTATCCACTGGGGGTCTTTAACTGTAAGGTAATTTAATTTGTACTAAGCATAAATCTAAACATACACCAATTCCTCATGCTTATGTACTTATACAACTAAGACCAAATCAAATTCATAAACACAAAACAGAACAAAACTCAAATATAATGTAACATATAATGTTTTACTGCAATTAATGTTGGTTTAATAATAAAGATATGGCATCAGGTGCAGTTCTTTTTATTTTTTTATTTGAGACGGAATCTCGCTCTGTCACCTAGGCTGGAGTGCTCTAGTGCAATCTCTGCTCACTGCAACCTCCACCTCCTGGGTTCAAGCGATACTCATGTCTCAGCCTCCTGAGTAGCTGGGACTACCAGCACGCACCACCACACCTGGCTAATTTTTATATTTTTAGTAGAGTCAGGGTTTTGCCATTTTGGCCAGGCTGTTCTCAAACTCCTGACCTCAAGTGATCTGCCCGCTTCAGCGTCCCAAAGGGCTGGGATTACAGGCATGAGCCACTGTGCCCAGCCTGCATCAGGTGCAGTTCTAAATCTTTTCCTGTAATTTTACTTCAATTCTGTCACTAAAGAAAATCCATGCTGAACTTATTAGCAACTCTGTTGTTAATTCTGAATAATCAGATAGCTCAACCAAATAGCCAGAGAATAATTATTGAATGCCAATTTACGTAAGGTTCAAATCTCAGCTCCAATGTGTAATGGATAACTTTGAACAAGTCACTTTAATCTCTGGACCTCAGTTCCATCATCTGTAAAATAGGGAGTATAATGCTCAGATGAGAGGTGAACGTATAAAATAATAAACATAAGTTATATGTTTATTTTCATTATAATTAAAACGAATCAATCAATACTGCAGAGGGAGTAAAAAAAAATAAAAGGAACAAAAACCTCCAACTCGGTCTATATCCCTTGTTTGGCTTCACTCATTTCCCTACCCAACCTGGACTTCACTATCAGTCAATCATTTCAATAATATACTCAAAACCACCGTAGTATCCTTCGTCCTCTTCCCTTCCCATTCCCACCCTTTTCCAACACCCAGTTTGAATGACAGCCACTTCTGGCACTCTTGACACAATTCCAAATGCTGAATCTCTCTGGAGAAAGTCATAAAATTGCTGCTTAGTAATCTTCTGGTTAAGCTACTCCAATTCCCTGTGACATTCTTCCACAGTAGCAAGGACAATTATCTATACTCAAGCCCTCCCCAACTTTTAACACATGACCTTGCTCCTCCTTACTGAGATGCCATAGAATGAGTGCCAGTCCTAATTCAATTGACTGTTGACATATCCTATGAATTCTATTTATGGATTATTACACACAACTTACTTCCTTCTCCACTTTAGGCTTTCACTATCTCACATAGAAAATTGGGATAGTCTAAATGTTCTCTTTACCTCCATTCTCTTCAAATTCCAATTTATCAGACTCAGCACTATAAGATTAAGCTTCACTTCTAAACTTTATTACTCCTTACTTAAAAACTATCCCTCAAATATTAAAACAATCTACAACATGATCCAAACTAACCTTTCCCATCCATCTTCTAAAACTGGTATCTGCAGCTGGGCACGGTGGTTCATGCCTACAATCCCAGCACTTATCAATCCCAGCACTTATGTAGGCTGAGGCAGGTGGATCGCTTGAGCCCAGGAATTCGAGACCAGCCTGGGCAACATGGCAAAACCCCGTCTCTAAAAATAATAATAATAATAAATTTTTAATCGATAGCTGTCCCAAGCAAATCAAATTCCTTAACACTTTCTCAAGCATACCACTTTTCCATCTTCATTCCTCCTCCCTTACAATTGCTACCCAGGCACTCTCTTCCTGCCTGCTTGTCAATATGGTGTCTATCAAAATCACTTTAGAGGGCAATTTGCTGTACACATAAAGTGCTTAAAAACATACAATGTCATAAACATGGTGATTCTACTTCCAAGAACTTACCTTATGAAATAAGTAGACAAAATGAAGATAGGTAGACATTAATACTTTATTACGTATTAATGATAAGCATTTAGCAACAGTGTAAATTCCAATATTAAGAAACTGGTTCAATGAATATATACACACACTATGATACATCAGTAGTATGTGTGTATATATTTATTACACACACATTATGCATGTGTATAATTATTTGTAATTTTATTACATGTAGCTATATACCATTATGTTAACAACAGTTAACACTAGGTAAAAGTGTTAAGCATGATTATTTTCTTCCTTGAGCCTTCCTGTATTACCTGAAATTTTTACTATATGCTTGAACTTCCTATTGAGTTTTAAAGTTTTATCCTGGCAAAAAGGATGGAAAAAGTATTAAACAGAAGATTTTTTTTCTTTTTTGCTGAGAGAAAACTTACAATCCTTAAAGTGCACAATGAAAGAAGTATAGTTCAGCATTACCAAAGCAAAAAAGCAGCAGCAGGAATGACCAAAAATGAAGCTGGAAATTAAATCTTATACAGGAGTCCTGTATGGCTCTAGGTTATTTGGTCTTGGCATTATTCCATAGATGATGAAGAACCACTGAAGAGTTTCAAATAAGAGAAAGATGTTCAGGTTTCCATTTTACAGCTTATATAGAGCAGTTAAAAAACAAAGGTTAGAGGACAAGAATGAAAGTGGGGTAAAACAGGTGACCTATTGCAATAGTCTTGGTAAAAAATACGGAAGGCATGAACTAGAGCAGTGATATTAAGGATTTAGAAATATGTAAGTAATAAAATGGTTAAAACTGATGTTTGGATTTGAAGGGAAAGTCACAGGCTTTTGGCTGTAAAAAAATGAAAAAATACAAGAAATAATAAAGGAGTCTGCAGGAAAAAGGTAATAATTCATCTTCTTGAAACATAATTTTTCAAACAACCCATACATATACAAAGACTTCTCACTGCCCTTTAGAAAAAAGTCTATAAACTGTCTAACACTGAAGGTCTTCCATAGACAGAATGAAACTTACCTCCAATCTCATCTTCCACAACTTCCCTAACTGAAGCTTATGCTGTAAACTGACTTACTCATTCTCATGAACATTCCTACCTCTGAGCCTCTGCTTGTACAGATTCAGTATCCCTTATCCGAAATGCTTGAGACCAGAAGTGCTTTGGATTTCTAAATTTGTCATCAGATTTTGGAATATTTGCATTATACTTACTAGTTGGGCATCCCAAATCCAAAACATAAAATGTTCCAGTGAGCATTTTCTTAGCATATCATGTCAGCATTCAAAAAATTATGGATTTCAAAGCATTTCAGATTTTCAGATTTAGGATGTTTAACCTATACCATTTTCCTGCTGGAAATGCCCTTCTTTTTCCTCAATCACATTTCTGTTTTCTTCCACTCTGCTCTGTTACTACAGAAAACACCAGTTCTCAATCAGTATCTTTAACTTGATACCAGTATCTCCCATAAAATCGAAACTACTACTGAGGCCAGGTGCGGTGGCTCACACCTGTAATCCCAGCACTTTGGGAGGCTGGGACACGGAGGATCACTTAAGCCTAGGAAGTTAAAACCCGCCTAGGCAACATAATGAGACCCTGTCTCTACAAAAAAATTTAAAAATTAGCCAGGCGTGGTATGTCTATAATCCCAGCTATTTGGAAGGCTGCAGGGAAAGGATCACTTGAGCCCAGGAGGTCAGGTTGCAGTAAGCCACTATCCCACCACTGCACTCCAGCCTGAGTGAAAGAATAAGACCCTGTCTCAAAAAATAAGAAATAAAATTTAAAAACTACTACTGATTTCATAAAACGGTTACAATGAATGTTTCTCCATTTTGGGATCTAACAAGCCTAAAAAACTGACACAAAAAGTAAACGGTAAATAACTACAGTAAATAACTATTATGTTGTATTCAGAAACATCAAGAAATGAGGAATTCAAAGAAAGGAACTAAAAGTCGTTAAATGCCAAAACTTTGTTTTGTCCAAATGTTATTCTGCCTTCCCATCAGGCTGGACTTTTACTTCTAGACACTTTCAATGTGCCTAATTTCTAGCAGCTATTCATTTCTTTCTTCCTTGTCGTTTAACTTTATACAGGTTAGACAATCAAAATATCAAGCCCATAAAAATCCTAACTAAAATAAAACAAACTGATTCTGAGGAAGAATACAGAATAACACAGGAGAAAAGTGAATGTGTTTTACTGTTTGGACATTCATGACATTATTTTGACTGCTCAGAGGACACTCTTATGTTTTGGTTTTCCACTACATTCTGAAGAGTTAAAATTGCCAGAAAATGTCCTGCATAGTGAGGTGTACCACTGTAATGATCACCTTTATTTTCAAGAAAGTATTATACAAAATCACTCGTAAAATCTAAGAACTGGAACTCCTGCCATCAAAGAGTTTACTATTCAGTCATGTTAAACAGAATACTTTAAAACTGTGTAATACAAACAGAATACTCTTAAAACTGTGTAATACAATCTGAGCAATATTTAAGCCATGCAGGACAACAGTAGAAGGGATAATAACATGACTGTCAAGCTGTATAAAATTAATTTCAAATGACTGGAAAAGACAGTAAATAATATAAGAACCCAAAGAAAAAGATCATTTTTTTTCAGGTAATGAATGGAGAAAATAGGAAAAGAAGATTCTGAAAAAATTTTCACAAGTCCTTAAGGTAAACTTTTTGATGACAGAGAGGAAAATCTAGTGAAATGGAGTTCCCAACATTCATTTTATCTACTCCCCACTGTTAAATATTTCATGGTGATGTTTAAAAAAATGAGTCTTAATGCAGAGTTAAGAAAAGGCAAGTACAAGCTACTTATCAATCTGTTTTAAAAGAAAATTAAAAGTGTTTACATGGAGAACATATTCCGAAAGCTTTCTTACCTTGAATATACCAACCCAATCTTTTGGATGTGGATGAATATATGGAGTTAAGGTGTAATGACATTCCAGGTGTGCATTAGGAAGGTAACTCTTGGCCACATTTTGAAAGATGACATGGGCAAAGTTGGAAGTCTGCAATGGGACTTCTTGAAAGGATGTCATTGTGAATCTGAAACAAGTAATTCATACAAGTTAAATTATACCAACTAAGAATAAACTTATGCCTTCAGAAAATACATAATATTTAATATAAATTTCATGAATATTTGCATGTCATAATTAAGAAAATATATACTTTGTAAATACTGCAACTTCTTAAAAATATGATTAAATATAAAAATACAGACAAACTGGAAAATAACTAAAACCCATTTGGCTCAGAAAGTTACATGGGCATTTAAAAGTTAAAAAACCAAACCAAAAATTCAACTCTCCTGGAAAGCCTAGCCCTCTGCATCTATCTGAATCAAAACCAAATGAACCAGAGCTGTTTTCATGCACATGCTGCCAATATAAACCTGCTGGCTCCTAGTAACGAACACTAGAAACAGAAACAAGGACAGTTAAAAGTCAGTATTTTATTGGCTATGGGTCAATTAACTTTTCCTTCCTATGAGAACCCTTGAGCTTCATCATTTTCCTCCCTAACCTAGCCCATCCCATTCATCTCTTCCCCTCTCCCTAGGTTTTGGGATCCTATAACTAAACCTGATGCTAACATCTCTGTGCCTACATTCCTGCCCTTCTAAATCCCCTGGACCAGCATTTCTCAACCCTGGTTACACATTAGAATCATTAGGGGCCTTAAAAAAAAAAAAAATAGATGACAACGACTTGCTGGGAGTGGGGCCTGGGGGTGTGTGCATGTGTGTCTGTCGGTGTGTATATGAATATACATATCCCTGCCCCCACATCTCCCCAAGTAATCTCAATCCTGTATGCAACCAGAAAAGAGAACCACTATCCAACAACTTAAGTCTCTACTACTAACTCTCACCCATTTCCACACATCCCAGACCCAGCCTGTCTTCTTGGGTTTCTGGTACAAGCTTGTTCAAATCTCTCAAACCATGTAAAATCTTAGCTGGTCTACTTGAAATGGCTCAGCTTATTCATTCTTCTCTACCTATAACAAACCTATCATTTCATCCTAGGTCCAATGATCCTACTTCGACTTCTAGTATTCATGTACCCTTTCCACATGTTTACTGATTAAAATAAACTTATATTTAAAAATAAAAATAGAAATGTAGTGTTAATAAAATACATACTGTTGAAAATCTATTAGAAATTCATGAACGCTCACTGGCTTAGTAAACACCAAGCACTGGATAGCAGATGAATGGTGAAAGCAGATTATAAAAACTGCAAGATCCAAATGTTTTCCCTATTTTGTGCTCTACTTTTGAGAAAACAGAAACAAATGAGGATTTACCCAAAAAAGCAATCTGCAGAGTTTGTCACAGGCTCAGTACAATCACTAATTCTACAATACACATAAGAAACTATGACTGTCCTGACCGCACTTGCTTGAGTCATTAAAACAGGTATCTCTGTAATAATGGGGAAAACTGGGGCAAGATTTTTGCTAACCAAATTAATCTAATTTACTTCACAAATCAATGAAGTTTCTACAGAGCAAGCACAGCAGTAAGGCTCTACTCATATTTTAGCCATTAGTAAGAAGGCTTATTGCTAAGATCTGAAACTGTGCTTTTACAACTGTTTCTTTTGCTGACCTGTTTGAAATACTAAGGCAAATTTTTAAAGTTTTGTAATAATAAGCACTTTCAAAAATACCAACTTTCTTCTTATGTCCCCTCTGCTTCTGTTACGGCCAAAGTCCTGCTTTACTGAATATAATAGATATCCCAAAAAGAGACTGTAAATCATGAACCTGGAAACCACTGTAGAGTATCAGGCTAGTTGTTAGCCTCTCCCTACCTGAGGTTTGCAAGCATTCCAAGATAAAGAGTATATTCAGTAGCAATCCTCCTTTACCTCTGCACTAACAAAGGGACTTTGCTACCAGCAACCATATTTCATGGAAAGACTTAACTATGTATACTCTCTACCTGGTAACCTAAAGCCATCAGAAAAATGAAAAGGTAGCATTTACAAACACTGGAGAACTCTGCCTAAAATAACTGAAGAGTTCTGTTATTTTGTTTCTTTGAGTTGTCTGAGCTAATTTGGGCTCCCAGGGAGGTCATATTAATGAAGTCATTAATGATAATCTCTTTTCAAGTCAGTGGCTTAAGAAAGAGGAAAAAATCACCAATTCCAGTTCTTTAAAAAAAAAAAAGTCACTACTGGTTATAAGATACCAACAAAAGAAACTATAGCTAAATCAACTGAACCAACATCTACTAGATACAACTACCAAAACTGAATCAAGAGAATATTTTTCTATGAAGCGAGTGAACAGTCACACTTCCTCTGAGAAAGATTTTCAGTAAGAAGGAAATAAACTAGCTTAGAATAAACGTCCCATGTTTTTAATCAAAGGCTGATTAAGGATAATACTTTTTTCTTAAAATTTAACATGTCATTTCCTAAAATAAATTAAACAACAAAGCGGTAACAATTTTTTTTATAAGACAAGGCAAAAGTGTTTAAACTTCTGTTAACCTCAATTAAAACAGTTTTTAAAAATCCACAATCCAACCTTATACTTTTAGTTCACTGACGTTTTTGAGGTACAAAATAGCACATAGGTATACATATATGTATTTGTATATGTTTACAAATGCATCAAAAGGAACTCAAGAAGTATACACTATAGAGTTAATAGTCTTATAAGGGATGCGTGTAAAAACAAGACTTAAGGACTTTAAATTTTACATCAATTTATTGTTTGAATTTTTACAAGTATATATAAATGTATTATTTCTATTGTTTTAAATAGCCCTATTAACCAGAAATCCCATTTTTAAACCCTCCCCCGAATTTCACATTTTCTAATAGAAAACACTAGTATTTCACTTTAAAATATAGTATTCACAATGTTTACAAGTCTGAAAAGTAAAATAATTTGTGATTATCCTATTAATCGCCTTCATTAATCTCTCTCCAACACTCCAATCTTTTTAAAATTTAATTGCTATAATTATAGAAATATTTTACAAAAGTCATTCCAGTACCTTGTCATTTTTTACTGTTCTTATTAAAATATAGCTACGAATCATTTAAAAAGTTTACATGGATGAACGCAATCTAAATATAATTATGTCATTAATCGACCCATTTTAAATAATAAAATTTCTAATTCCCACATAGTTCCTCTGGTTCACTCCTCCTACAGATAACAGACTGAAGAGACAGGCAAGCTTATAAAAATGCTGGAATTCACTGAGAATGTCAAGGTCGCATGGGAGTGGAGAAACAATATGCAAAGTCACTGCATCACCTTGTGGTAATGCCTGGGAAGTGTAGCTTCACTAACATCTTGAGAAAAAGTACAAACCTCGTCTCAGTTGGACAGAAGTACACTCCCTACACAAAAAGCAAAGTAGAAGCAAGCAGCTTTACCATGTCAAATTCTGATTCCCCTTCTCTAAAGTGCATCTCCACAAACAGGAGTATAGTAAGTTGGCAAGCCAAGGATAAGTACAAAACGTCCAGTCAACAATCCAGGGACCAGACACATTTGGCTGGGAAACAAAGTCAGAAATGCTTACACATGCTGACTACAGTGCCCTCTTTCAGGTTTCCTCCTACATTCCCTCAAGCTCCAATGCCTCTAGAATTTCTTTATGTGTGTTATGCTGTAAACTGTATACTATAGAGTCTTTGGTCTAAATTCCAATTTTATTATTTTGCAAATGCCTTAATGTCTATAAAAAAGATAAATAATACATAGTGGGCACTCAGTTATGTATACAGCTAAAATAAACATGGGGTGGGGGTGGGAAAGCATTTCAACGTTATCTTTACTTACTCCTCTTGGAACTTTTTCAACCCCAAAACAGATTTGACTTTTGTGGTAGTATTTTTCCAGTGGTTCCCAATACTTGTTTTACTTTAGCCCAAAAATATAAGCCTGAGTGAACTTACTAAAAAATAGATGATAGTAAGAACTTCTGTACATTAAACATATGAAGCCAAATTAAGCTTTTTAATTTAGATAAATATTAAATATAATTTGCCAGTCCTAACAATTAGAATTCAAAAATAATTTTGTTATGTGTGATAATATAATTATGGCAATTCTGTGTTTTTCTAAAGTCCTTATCAGTTAAAGATGCTAAGCTTACTGTAAATGAAACGTCTTGATGTCTAAGATTTGCTTTAAAAACTCCAGGGGAAAAAAATAAATGTTAGAGGGGTAATAAAACAAGATTAGTAAAGTGTCAGTTCATTTTACTGTTCATTCTCCTTTGTGTATGTTTGAAAATTTCCAATAGGAAAACCAAAGCAAATAAAGAAATGAAACAGATTAGTAACACTCCACATATGACCTACTGCAGCAGAAACACTGCATTTTAGAATATGAACACTTTGTATCTTTAGAAGTGTTATAATTCAGGTAATGGTTGACAGAGTTACCGAAAGTTTTTCACATCCTCAGCTAAAAAACCTTTAGAATTATCTCCAAACTTCAGTCCGATAGGACACGCAAACATCTGAAAGCAAAAAATGTCCAACATTCAAACAGTTTCCAATTATTCACACTGTAGCTCAAAGAAAGAAAAACTTAACAACTATCAACAGACCTCTGCTTCCAAAAAAATGTAATCAGCAATTTTTCTAGGAGGCAAAAGCAAAGGCCCCAGTCTATTAACTTGCACCATTGCAGGCATCCCTAGTTCCAGAATCCTTTACACCTGAGTGCCAAGACATTCCACTCAGGTGTCACCCGCACCACTTTTACTTACTTCTTAGATTTTATAAGTTGGTTTCTAAAATGCTATGATCTTGGCCCACATATATTAGGGGAGAGGACATTTTTATCTTCTTCTGAAGGTTTATTTGGGACAAAATAAGCTTTAAAAAGACAGAAATGCATAAAGCCCAGATTTTACATATCCATTCCAAAATACTACAATAAAGTCCCCAAAAGAAGTATACAAGGAGCATCGTTAGGATCTTTCATAATTATTTCAACATCATTAAAAAGGTTGAAACTCTGAATTCCAAAATTTTACTTTTGTTATGGAAAAGATATTTACTGGTTAATTCTACAAACATGGCTGCAGTGAGAACTACAAACAGCGGTCTACAATTTAAGAACTTGATGGGCCAGTCGCAGTGGCTCACGCCTGTAATCCCAGCACTCTGGGAGGCCGAGGCGGGCAGATCAGGAGGTCAGGAGTTCGACCCTAGCCTAACCAACATGGAGAAACCCCGTCTCTACTAAAAATACAAAAATTAGCCGGGCGTGGTGGCGCACGCCTGTAATCACAGCTACTCAGGAGGCTGAGGCAGGAGAATCGCTTGAACCTGGGAGGCGGAGGTTGCAGTGAGCCGAGATCGTGCCACTGCACTCCAGCCTGGGAGAGCAAGACTCCGTCTCAAGGGAAAAAAAAAAAAAAAAAAGAACGTGATGGCTATAAAACAAAAAATACAATAAGATGTTCTTTGAAGTTGAACAGCTTGAAAAATAAATAAAACTTTATTAGAAGTCGGCATCATCAAACAATACTTCAAGTTTACCCTTGAAAAGAACAGAACGAAGGAGAAAGGCTGTCCTCAGCTCCTTCTCTAAACCCGAAAAGCATTGAGGACAATCAACCCACTTTTAGTTTCTATTCAAATGATCTCTTTAAATCCTTTTGGAATTAAGCACCAAACTTGTAACTAGTAATTGTTCGTGCACAGCACGTAGAAATTTTAACATCAGCAGAATGCAGACAGTTGAACAATTAAGATTTTCCCATCTAAAGCCTGACATAATAGCAATTCATAACCACTGTGTGAAATCGGAAATCTAACACTGTACGTCTAAAGTCATATGCCACTGTTGTCCAACAAAACTTTTACCAATAAGGTGTGTACACACACCCACACAAACGCATGTTAAGCTCTATTTTTTACTAATAAGGTGTACACGCGCACGCTAAACTCTAGCCACAGATTCCCTAAGCGAGGAATGCAGGTCGGTCGGGACTAGTTCACACCTTGCGAACCTGCGGGGTGTTGGGGCGGGGTGGGGAAAGGATTCCAGGTGAAGCAGGAGATCAGCCGGAACAGCCAACTCCGCCCGCGGCCCTCAAAAGTAGGCGGCGCAGGGAATCTCCGCCCCCTTCGCCACCGGCGACTCAAACCAAAACAGCTGGGTTTCTCTCCGCAGAGGCAAACCCCAGCGTCCTTCTCGGACGCGACCTACGTGTTTTCTCAGCTTACTGCGCCGGTAACACCCACAGGGACCTCAAAACAGTCATCCCAGAGTTGAGCCTTGGACACCAGAAGCTTTTCCTTCAGGGGTCGCCAACGTCACTCGTCCCCAGCCAAAGGGCACCCGTCCCACACGCCTTCCCCAAATCGCGAAGGCCTGTTCCGCGGGCCTCCCTCCGCGTGGGGCGGCCACCCGTTGCTATTCCAAAACTCTATGGCTGATCCGAGTCGCCCACACCCCCGTCACAATCGCAGTCCGGAAGGGAAGGTTTGTTCTCGGGAAGGAAAGCCTCGTCACCACTGAGACCTCTCCCGAGACCGGCCAGGCCCCTACAGTACAGGGGCAGAGGGGTGTAGCACGAGCCCTAAAAGAGATGCAGCTGGGGTCCGACCCGCACAAGGCGCTGGGGTGGACCGGGGAGGCGCCTTACCCAGTGGAAAGACTCCCGGACCAAGGGAGAAAGTTACACAGGCTTCCGATCGTGATCCGCCATCAGCCGCTGAACCTCTTCCGCCACTACCGCCTACCCCCAAAGACCGGCTACACCTACCCTCACAGCCGACAGTAGGCCTTGCGTCACTTCCGCCCACGGGGCGGTCTCTTCCGCCTCCTGGAGGGTTCGCCCCGCCGCTCTGCTACGACACGCCCCCAGCGCACTCCGCCTCGGGACGCGAAGCTGGGCCCAGGCGTGCCTCATCTCGCAGGCAGGATGGTTCTCTCCTTCGTTCGTCCTTGCCATTTTCGCTCAGCAAGTTAATCGCAGAAAAACAATGCGTCTGGATTTACATTCTGATTTTATATTATTATTTTGACATACGAAATGGGGAAACACACCAGAGATTTAAGTAACTCACCCGCGATGTGGAAAGGGCAGCTCAGAGGTCCATGAACAGTGCCGTGTCCCTGCCTGCGTCTCAGTCGGCCTAAACTAACCCACCGATTTTATAGATAAGGAAATAGCCAGAGAAGCAAGGGAGTTACCACACGGCTAGGGCTGCAAACCCCTGAACTCCAAGACTGTCTCTCAACTCCCGGCCCAGTCCTGTGCTTTTTTGACTACGAAGTTTTGTTCGCTGAAAGCTCCTAGGAGCCTTTCAGTTCTAATGCCGTCTGATTCTATTTGCTCTCGCTCCAGCAGAGAGGCCTCTTTTCTACCCGCATTTCTGTGAGATACCGGCTTTTGTTATCCATATCATTTTCCGTGTGTGAACTTTGTCCCGCGTTCTGTTATTTCTAAAATCACTTTTGCCTTTTGTATGTATTGCCTTCCTATATTAGACATTCAGTTTGAATCGTAACTTCACAGAAGCCAGTGTGTCCCATTCGAATTCATCATATTCGTCTGTTGCCATAAAACCCTGATAAAACTTGCAATAGCACCTGAAAGGATATGTAAATTAGATCGCATTAAATGTTGAAGCACATTCTAAATACAGAACATTCAAAATTATCTTTCATATACTTTCATCTTTACTTCCAGCTATTTCAGAAGACATTAGCTTTGATAATACAGGTTCTCAGTATTTACAGACTGATTTCTTTCCTATGTATTGACATTTTCTAACTTGGTCTTGTGCTGGGTACTATACTTGATCATAGAATTTCAGAAGAACCTTAACAGGTCATTTAGTCCCAGTCTCTTTATTTTATGGATGAAGAAAACGGTGTGAATAATCAACTTAAGTTATCACTCGCGTTACTGGTAGCAGCCTTCTGGTAGTAGAAATAACTGTGTCCCTTAAGAAATGTAAACATAGCAGTGAACTTTATAAGCACAATTTGTCAGAGTGTCACTCCTTGTATGTTTAAATCATATTCCTATTCACATGTAATAAATTTTTAATGACCACTAATTTTCAGTTAATGAAATCAGAAAAACAGTGTGCCTAATAAAAACCACAATTGAAAGTCTTTTTGGGGGGGCGGGGGGAACGGAGTTTCACTCTTTTTGCTTAGGCTGGAGTGCCGTGGCGCAATCTCAGCTCACTGCAACCTCGGCTCCCGGGTTCAAGCGATTCTCGTGCCTCAGCCTCCCAAGTAGCTGGGATTACAGGCGCCAGCCACCACGCCTGGCTAATTTTTGTCTTTTTAGTAGAGACAGGGTTTTGCTGTGTTGGTCAGGCTGGTCTCGAAAGACATTTTCACAGATATTTTTTACTTTGTTATTCTTAATAATTTCTTGAATTTTTAGACCTTATTTTCCCCAGGAAGGTATTTGTTCTGGAATTTTAACTTGCTTCACTCATTTTAGTAATGATCCTTTAATTTTTACACCACATTTTTCCCACCAAGATAAATAGATACTCTCTTAGTATTTAATTGAATTTCTGGGTTTAGTGGGGGGGGCTTGGGTTTTTTGTTTGTTTGTTTGTTTGTTGAGATAGAGGCTCGCTCTGTCACCCAGGGTGTAGTGCAGTGGCATGATCTCGGCTCACTGCAACCTCCACCTCCCAGGTTCGAGCAATTCTCCTGCCTCAGCCTCCCCAGTGGCTAGGATTACAGGCGCACACCACCACTCTGGGCTAATTTTTATATCTTTAGTAGAGGCAGGGTTTCTCCATGTTGGCCAGGCTAGTCTCGAACTCCTGACCTCAGGTGATCCACCTGCCTCAGCCTCCCAAAGTGCTGGGATTACAAGCACGAGTGACTGCACCCGGCTTTAATTGAATTTCTTAAAGTTAGCCTATTATGTGTATGGCAGTGGACTACGGCTAGAAGAGTATGGATTCACTTCCTTTAAGTGAAATCTTTCTGCCAGAGGGATTTCAGAATTCAGAATTTTTCAGACTTTAGAGAGGTGTGTTTTATGTGACATTCCTCACTATCTGGGGCAGCACCCACAGTCAACTTTTTTTTCCAGAACAACTATGAATATCACACTAAGATAAATGAGGTGTATAGTCTCGCTTCAGATCAAGTTTTTCAGGTCAGGTTCTGCCACTTTGCCCTTGGGTTCAGGTCAAGTTTTAATGACAAATGAGTCAGGTCAAACAGGTTTTGCCACCAAATGTTAAGAAAACATTTGATTTTCAGAGCTGTTTTTTTTTTTTTTGAGACGGGGTCTCTGCCCTCTGCCCTGTCACCCAGGCTGGAGGGCAGTGGCAAGATCTCGTCTCACTGCAACCTCTGCCTCCCAGGTTCAAGCGATTCTCCTTCTGGGATTACAGGCGTGAGCCACCGCACCCGGCCAATTTTCAGAGCTTTTCAGATTTCAAAATGGTGAATAAGGGATTGCAGACCTATTGAGAGAATTATTGGAAAGTAAATCAGTGAGTAACCCATGATTTTTCTGGAGCAACTACAGTTTCAAGTAGTTTGTAGGCAGTTGTCCTGTGTTTTGATTGGGAAAATATGCTGACTATATTTAAAAGACAGTGTTCTTTCATTAGAGGAACTTATGATAGCAAAAGGAAGAAAAGAAATGAGCCCATGAAAATGTAGGTAACTAAAGTGTAAATAAATGAATAAGAAGACAGATATTCAGAGATGAGAGAAAGTACAGGCTAGTGTTAGCAGTACACTTCTCATGGGAGAGGCAGGCCTGGACTGTTAAAGTGAGGTATGATTTTGATGAGGAGATATAGGGGGAGGACTTTCCAGTCAGGATTTAAGAGCTTGGACAAAGGAATCAGGAAGAAAATTGTTAACCAAAAATAATTTCCTCCAAAGTTCATGCATTCACCATTGTGTCATGTTGCTTCTTACTAAGAGCGTTTTGTTCATTTACTATGTGCTCTGGGAAAAACAAGGAATCAAGCATGGTTTCTTCCCTGAAACTACTTAAAATCAGGTCAAGATATTACAGGATGGTATAGATAACTGTCAAATTTGCAGGAAATGGACTCTGAGAAATAAAGTAGAAAGATATACAGAATAATTTTGAAATTAGCTAGACTTTGTAAAAGAGATTGGGTTCTAAACTTCAAAAGACTGATAAGATTTGAAAAGATGAAGAAAAGGCTTACATAGTGAGAATAATATAATTTAAAAGGCACAGATGGGACAATTAGATAGCAAAACAAGGATTGAAAATTTTTGAAAAAGTTCAAATAGACATATTTTATTAGAAACATTACAGGTTTTAAAAGCCAGGCAAATAAGTTGTTCTCCTTTCTTAGAACAATGGTTTACATTAGAATTTGTATTAAAGATACCTTTTGCTATAAATGATTCTTAATTTAAAAAAAAAAAACCCTTTGTAAACCTTTGTTTTAGAAAGAGAGCTTTTTTTTTTTTTTAAAGACAGAGTCTCATTCTGTCACCCAGGCTGGAGTGCAGTGGCGCAATCTTGGCTCACTGCAACCTCCACCTCCCAGGTTCAAGCGATTCTCCTGCCTCAGCCTCCCAAGTAGCTGGGATTACAGGTGCGTGCCACCATGCCCAGATAATTTTTTTTGTATTTTTAGTCGAGACAGGGTTTCACCATGTTGGCCAGGATGATCTCAATCTAAAAAGAGAGGCTTTAAAAATGAGATTTGAATAATGGTAGGCTTTGGATAGGCAAAGAAAGAGAGGATTCCAAACACTCTAAAATAGGGTTATTTTCTCTTTCCCTATCTATTAGATTTTATTGATGTACTCATTGCTCGTTTCCCAACTATTACCTACCTAGATGCTTGTAAAACACCTTTGCTCCTTTGAGGTATACACTGTTGTGTTATGCTCCGTCTTCTCTCCCTGTGGCTGTCATCTTCTGATCTCCAAGTCACTGTTCCTCATTCAGGAGACCTAGTGCACAGTCTCCTTCTCCATTCTAAGCCATTCATTGTCTACTTGGATGAAATTAAAATGAAAAGGCCAACATCCCAGCATTTTAATTTCCTGAATCCCCCATCTGAAATACTCCACTCCACTCCAGATACCTATTTCTGTGGTCACACCTTGGCCCTTGTCATCATCTTGAAAAGCAAGCCTCCTACTCTTTGACCACAACCTCCTATTCTTCTAACCTGCTCATTCAGATATGCCCAGCAGAACTATTTTTCAAACTCATCAGCATCTCAGTCCATTTCTTCTTTTAATACTTCCCTCAGTATCCAACTTAGAGTCCATAGGCTATAATTTCATTAACATGACTTCCAACACCGTAAATTCCCTTGACTTCCTATCTTGCACATTAAAGAAAATTTCCTATAACAAATGTGTTACAGACTTTGTGGTCATCACATGCTTTACACTAAAGTTTACGTCTGGAAATACTAAGCAGAAACTTTGAAGTTAAAATAGAGTGTTTTGGGAAGTTTCTTGCACTATCAAAAAGAGAAACTGTAATTTATGATACTAAGAAACAGAGCCTGCAGAGGTTTATATTTCAGAAAGACCTTTGCCCCATTGGCTCCTAACAGTGTTCTTTGTTCCTTGTGCAACTGAAAGGTCACTAGAATGTAAATATTCTCTAACCTCTCTTCCTCATCTTACTGAGAAGAGTAATAGCCGGCAAAGTACTTTGAATTTTTAAGGTACTTATGTCAACAAGATTCTTCCTTCCCAGTGTTTCTTATTAAATACCTGTATTTTGTGAGTCACTGTGTATCAATGATAATTAAAGTTAATAAAAATTATTTTAAGGAAATGTTATTAAGATAATCTTCAAATGTTTAATTTTAACCCAGGCTAAATCAAAGTTTTAGGCTCAAATATGTTTTTATTTCACAGATCTCAACACCTCCCACCTTCTCAGGAACTCTACATCATCTCGTTTTTATATTCAAGACTCCCATCTCCACGAGATCTTTTCCGTTGTCTTTTTAAACATGCTGAAGTCTCTTCAATTTTTAAAACTTTTCCAGCTCCCTATTTCTTTCCAGCTCCTATTGTCTTTTGTCTTTACAAGCAACTGTCTTGCTTCTAGAAAGAATTGTCTATATGGTACTCCCTCATCTTCCATCTATTTCCAGCAAGTTCCAGAAGGCATATTTCTAGCAAGATGCAGAGGGCAGATTTCTAGCAAGTTCCAGATGGTAGATTTCTGGCAAGTTCCAGAAGGTGAATTTCCAGTAAGTTTCAGCAACACAAGGACTTCTCTGTGAGACTTCTCTGTGGGACTTTATTCAGGGACCCACAGCCATGCCCTCTCCAGGGCCTAGATGTCAGCCCTGAGAGGTGATCTTGCTTGGACACTCTATCTCAGTCCTAGGGGTAGTGTCTCTCCTTATATCAGCCATTCTTATATTTTTTAGAGTTCCTTTTACTCCCGTTAGCCTTGTGACTCCAATCTCCTGTTATAGTTAATAATTCTTTATATTAGACTTTCCTTGTTCATATCACCTATGTGATTTTTCTCTGCTATTTGGACCCAGACTGACAAACCACTCTACTGCTTCATTTAGCTTCATAGGTAGAGCCTGTCTTGTTTATTTTTCTTTCTTCCCCTGAAGTAATTGCTCAGAGTTCATTCGGTTCCAACCAAGTAGGGTTGCTGCCAAAATGTAGGTCTTTGTTGTACTGCAATTTTCTACTGCTACTTGATGTTAATTATGATGCATAGGGGCTAGAATTTCTTCAGTAAGGTATAGTTTAGGTTGCAGAATTCAATGAATGATGATTTATTGCCATTTAGCATTGGGTTTAATAGATGAAAGAAATGCCTTTATTCTCACAAGAGACCATGGCTATGCTGATCCTGCCATGAGGACAAAAGGAAACATGAAATTATTACTAAGTACTTAGGCTGAGCATCTTTAGAAAGTAATTTGTAATATATTTTATTAGTTAATTGTGAAAATTGGCTTCTGAGGTTACATAGTGTGATATAGCAAGTTCTAAGACAAGCTGTGAGTAGACAAAATTCCCCTTCCTGAATCTTTCTTTTTCTATACTTTTTCTTCTTTTTCAGGTACCCTTCACAGGTTTAACAGCCCCATCCCTCGGGCACCAAGCAGTCTTATCCGGGGGGGGAACCTGATTCTCAGTAATAATCTCTGTGCCTACGAGGAACTTAATGCAAGTCTTAGGATCTCAAAAAAGGACCTACGAGCATAAAGTAATGAGTCTGTCAAGCGAGGTTTCCATGCATAGGGAGAGGATCTCTTTAAGTAAGGAACCTTCCTGGTGCTTCTTTAAGCACAGTTGCTATCATTCTGGAAGAAGCTCCTTTTAACCCATATCTTCTTCCAACTAGCATCCTATTTTTTTTCTTTCCTTCCCAGCTGAACTTCTTAAGGATCAATCTATATGATGTGTTAATATATTTGAGATATTAACCTATTTTTCTTGGTATTTTCCCCTTGTATAGCTTGCCACTTTCCCAACCTTCACCCATAGATATGTTGCCTTGAAGAAAGGACGTAGAAGGAAAATCTTTCTGGCTTTTGTTTCCAGACTCTCGAACCCCACAAATGGGGAGAGGATTCAGGCTGCAGAGAAATGGCTTGAGGAGAAGCCAAGGGCAGGGGTATATAGGTGGAGGGAGAACAGCCAGCATTTTCCTCCCCCTCAACTCTAGAAACAGATTTCTCTGGGCCAGAGAGGATGGGAGGGTACCTCTAGGTGGACAAAACCACACAGCCCGTTTAACCTTCCTAGGTCTCCAAGACATCCCCTACCCTATCTTAGTACAGAGCAGTATTTCAAAATCCTGACAAAACTAGAATGGAGCGGGGCGGTGCGCGGGGCTGAGCGGTGGCTGGGGCGCGTGCTCTGGCGCGGTCGCTGGGTCTGCGCCTTCCCGGGCCAATGTGCTGAGGCCTCCGTGTCGCCGCTGCCGCCCGCGCCTAGCCTGCCGCGGCACTCCCGGCTGCACACTCTGCTTGGCCTCGCCATGCCGGTGGACCTCAGCAAGTGGTCCGGGCCCTAGAGCCTGCAAGAAGTGGACGAGCAGACGCAGCACCCGCTGCATGTCACCTACGCCGGGGCGGCGGTGGACGAGCTGGGCAAAGTGCTGACGCCCACCCAGGTTAAGAATAGACCCACCAGCATTTGGTGGGACGGTATTGATTCAGGGAAGCGCTACGCCTTGGTCCTGACAGACCCGGATGCTCCCAGCAGAAAGGATCCCAAATACAGGGAATGGCATCATTTCCTGGTGGTCAACATTAAGGGCAGTGACATCAGCAGTGGCGCAGTCCTCTCCGATTATGTGGGCTCAGGGCCTCCCAAGGGCACAGGCCTCCACTACTATGTCTGGCTGGTTTACGAGCAGGCCAGGCAGCTAAAGTGTGACGAGCCCCCTCAGCAACCGATCTGGAAACCAACGTGACAAATTCAAGGTGGCGTCCTTCCATAAAAAGTACCAGCTCGGGACCCCGGTGGCCGGCACATGTTACCAGGCCGAGTGAGACGACTATGTGCCCAAACTGTACGAGCAGCTGTCTGGGAAGTAGGGGGTTAGCTTGGGGACCTGAACAGTCCTGGAGGACCCAAGCCCTGTTTCCCAGTTCAGTGTTGCATGTATAATAGATTTCTCCTCTTCCTGCCCACCTTGGCACAGACGACACCTGACCAATCAGATGGTGGTTGAGGGTGACTTTTCCTGCTGCCTGACCTTTATAATTTTACTCACTCTGATTTATGTTTTGATCAAATTTGAACTTCATTTTGGGGGATATTTTGGTACTGTGATGGGGTCATCAAATTGTTAATCTGAAAATAGTAACCCGGAATGTAAAAAAGAAAAAATCAGGTGGGAAAAAGACCAGGTCTACAGTGATAGAGCAAAGCATTGAAGAATCTTTAAGGGAGGTTTAAAAAGAAAAAAAAAAAGATTGGTTGCCTCTGCCTTTGTGAACCTGAGTCCAGAATGGTACACAATGTGTTTTTATGGTGATGTCGCTCACCTAGACAAGCAGAGGCTGGCATTGAAGCGGACCCCCAACACGGTGCATCTCAGATGCCTCAACAGGCATCAGCGTGTTGCTGTGACCCCTTTAAAGAGCAGTCCTGGAAGAGGCAGGAGGGAGAGTGGCTTTGCTGCTGTTGGGACGTGGCCATAGAGACCGGCAGCAGCGCTCGCTGACAGCTTAGGAGGAATCCTTACATCTTTGTCTGTTAAATTGATTGTTCTTCATGGGAGTCAGAAAAGCTGGTCTGGAGTTGCTGAATGTTGTGTTAATTGTGCTGTTTGCTTATAGTTGAATAAAAATGGAAACCTGAATGAAAACGAAAAAACTAGAATGGAGACTCAAAACAGAAATTGAATTGGTGGAATATATTAAAACATACTTCTTTAGAAGCTCGAGTTGTGGGCTAAAATTCATACTGCTACATGTTCATTAATCTTGCATTCCTCACCCCATAAAATGTGCTCAGGCTGGGCATGATGGCTCACGCCTGTAATCCCAGCACTTCGGGAGGCTGAGGCAGGCAGATCATCGGAGGTCAGGAGTTCGAGACCAGCCTGGCCAACGTGGTGAAACCCTGTCTCTACTAACAATACAAAAATTAGCCGGGCGTGGTGGCGGGTGCCCATAGTCCCAGCTACTCAGGAGGCTGAGGCAAGAGAATCGCTTGAACCTGGGAGGCGGAGGTTACAGTGAGCCAAGATCGTGCCACTGCACTCCAGCCTGGGTGACAAGAGCAAGACTCTATCTCAAAAAAAAAAGAAAAAGTGTGCTCAACCCCCACCAGTCCACTGAAAGTTACCATGATAAGGTCATCAATGACCCTCATTTCCCAACCTACTTTTTAGTTCTCAGACCTTATTCCACAAACTTTTCAACCAAGAAGTTCTAATGATAGAATTGTTCACTCCTTCCTGCTTAAAATTTTTTCCTTATCCCCTTTGGGATACAATTGCATCCTGGTCTTCCTTTTCTTTCTTTGAATATGCCTTCTCAATTTCATTTGTGGGCTTCTCATTTTGCAGTTGCTCCCATAAGTACTAATCTTCCTCAGAGTCCAGCCATCAGTCCCTTCAGGTTTAAATTATTTCCGATTATGATTACATATTTTCAATTGCCAAATATACTAATGTATTTATTAATAACTACCAGATCTACCAAATCTATATCTCCAGCCCGGGCTTTCCTCCTGACATCAACCCTACATATAATAGATATCCACTTACATGTCACACAAACATCCTAAACCCCAGCTTTTTTTTTTTTTTTTTTTTGAGACGGAGTCTCTCTCTGTCGCCAGGCTGGAGTGCAATGGCACAATCTCGGCTCACTCAACCTCCGTCTCCCGGGTTCAAGTGATTCTTCTGCCTCAGCCTCCCAAGTAGCTGGGACTACAGGTGCATGCCACCACACCCAGTTAACTTTTGTATTCTTAATAGAGACGAGGTTTCACCGTGTTGACCAGGATGGTCTCGATCTCTTGACCTCGTGATCCGCTGGCCTTGGCCTCCCAAAGTGCTGGGATTACAGGCATGAGCAACCGTGCCTGGCCCCCTTTTTTTTTTTTTTTTTTTTTAAAGAGACAGAGTCTTGCTTTTTTACAGGCTGGAAGGCAGTGGCACAATCACGGCTCACTGCAGCCTCGACCTCCTGGACTCAAGCAATCTTCCCATCTCAGCCTCCTGAAGATCTGGGATGATAGGCATGTACCACCACACCTGACTAATTTTTCATTTTTTGTAGAGACAATGTCTTGCTATGTTGCCCAGGCTGGTCTCAAACTCCTAGCTTCAAACGATCCCCTCGCCTTGGCCTCCCAAAGTGCTGGTATTGCAGGCATGAGCCACCATGCCCAGCCCCACATTTCTAAAAGCGAATTTGCCATCTTTCTCTCACCTCACTCCCCTTCACCTGTATTCCTTTTCTGTACCAATCAAGGTCCTGGCAGGAAATGGATGACACACTCTGTAAGTCATTGATGAGAGTTTAACGATGGGACCCTTTAAGAATCCTATAAAGTTTCTCTCTAGCAACAGAAGGAGCAACAACAGAGAGGAAGCTGTTATCCCCCAACTAGGTCAGGGAAGCATTTGAGACCTGGGCATGGAGGAAGTGCTCTCTGACAGAAGCTGTGGCCTCTCTCTGATCTCTTGCTAACACCAGTCATTGGCCAAACCCAACCTGAAACCAGAGATAAAAGGAGTCCAGGGATTTGGTCTCTTGAGGTCAGCTCCTTGGGGCAGAAAGTAGTGAGGTAATGGGTGGAGAATAGTTCTGTTGGGGCAAATGGACAATCACCAGCCTATCTCCTCAATGAATGGCAACACCAAGGACCCAGTCTTGCTTGCCAGGAACCTGGGAACTTGTCTCAACTCTTTGCTCTTACTTACTCCACTATATGCAATCAGTCACCAAATCCTGTCTATGTTGCATTCTGAATGTTTGTCACCTTTATCTCCTCCTTGCCATTCCCTACCAGTGTTCCCAGCTCAGGTCCTGATCTCTTTTCACCTTGATAAGTGCACGCATTTCTTATCTAGTCTCTCAGCTTCTAGCATCAAACCATCCCTTTACCATCCCTTCACACTGCTACTAAAGTTTCTTTCCAAAAGGCTAAGATCTAAGTGCTTTAATGACAAGACCATTCTTTTCTCCCAAATTTCTTTTTCTTTTTTTTTTTTTAGTTTTTAAATGACAAAAGTCATATACCATAACTCCCAAGGAAAGCCAAGCTGAACTGAAGTGTATTAAATAAAATGTAAAATCTTCTAAAGAGGTAACCGTTGTTAATAATTTTGTTATGTTTTTCCAGATACATTTTTTTTTAATTTTTAATTTTGAAATAATTAGACTTACAGGTAGTGGCAAAAAAAAAAAAAAGTAAAGGGAGTGTGCTGTACCCTTCACCCAGTATCTGAGTTGAATTGTGTGCCCCAAAAAGATATGCTTGAGTCCTAATCCCAGGAACCGATGAATATCACCTTATCATTTCAGATATAATCAAGTTGAAATGAGGTCATACTGGATTAGGGTGGGCCCCAATCCGGTGGCTGGCGTTCTTGTAAGAAGAGGGATATTTGGACATAGGTACACAGAGAATCAGAGAACACCACGTGACAACAGAGGCAGACATTGAAGTACTATATGTACAAGCACGGGAACACCAGGGATTTGAAAGAAACCACTAGAAACTGGGGAAGAAGCCAGAAACGATCCTCCTCTAGACTCTTCAGAGAGCGTGGACCTGCCAATACCTTGATTTCAGACTTCTAGCCTGCAGAACTAAGAGAGAACAAATTCCTATTATTTTGAGCTATCCAGTTTGTGATAATTTATTACAGCAGCCCTAAGAAACTAATACACTCGGTTTGCCCCATGGTAATATTTAGTATAACTATAGTACAATATCAAAGTAAGGAAATTGACATTAGTACCATACTGTTAACTAGACCACAGGCCCTGTGCAGATTTCACCTCTGACTGATTTTTTTTTTTTTTAGAAGGCTTAAAATTTTTTTTTTATTATTATTATACTTTAAGTTCTAGGGTACATATGCATAACGTGCAGGTTTGTTACATATGTATACTTGTGCCATGTTGGTGTGCTGCACCCTCTGATTGATTTTTTAATCACACAAGTGCGTACACACACACACACGTCTCTTGCTTTTTAAATTATTTGTTCTCAGTTTAGATAAAGTTTAACCATTAGTAACATGACAAAGGAATTTTTTTTCATAAAGAGCACCTTTGAATAAAAAAAAAAGACTAACCAATGGAAAAATGGATTAAAATACGTAAACAAGCAATTCATAGAAGGAAAATTATAAACAGTCAATGAACGTGTGAAAAGATGCTGAGCTACACTAATGATCAGGGAAACATAAATTAAAATCACAATGAAATGCTTTTCACCATTAAATTGGTACAAATGTAGAGACTGATAACAGAAAGAGACCCTCATACTCAGAGAGGTGGGATGTAAATTGGTACAAAATTTTTTAGAGGACAATTTAGCAATATACATAAAATTTAAGGTGTTTGTACTATTTGACCAGCAACTGCACTTCCAGGACTCTTGGAAATACTTACACATATGCAGAAAAATATTTAATAGGACTTATTACTTTGAATAGGGAAAACTTAGACAAGCTAAATGTTGACTAACGGGGGAATGGTTAAATTAATTGTGATATGCCCATAATATGTAGCCATTAAAAGAATGAAGTAGACAATCACATATTGTAAGTGAATAAGGAAAATAATAAACAATAGGTATTGGAGAGGCTATGTTTAAAGAGTGTATGCTCTATCTGAATTCACAATCCTGGCTCCACCACTTACTAGTTCTGGAAACCTGTATAGTTTAAATATTTAGTTAACCTTCCGTTTTCTTATAGGACAATTAGAGTGATAACGTTAGTACCCGTATCAGAGGATTATGTTGTCAGCCGTAAATGTGTTAGTTTACATAAGCAGTATTTCAAAATGGTATCCGGTACACAGCTATTATTCAGTAAATGTTAGCTACTACCATTATTATTGTTTATATAAAATAC